TTTAAAATATGTCAGAAATATATGAGTTGATGGCAAAAATAGTGCACCACCTTTATTTTTTTCTAATCCAAGATAAATAATCCTGTCACGAAACTAAACTAGGTTATTGTTTCAAGGTTAAGTTCACTTCGTATTTTTTAACTGGAGCTGAAAGGAACCAAATCCATCTAGTTTGCTCTGTACCTCAAATGAGTGTGGTCATCTACTTTAAAAGACATTGCACAGCCTATATTAAACTACACAGGCTTGAATCTGAGACTTTTTCCATTAGTTTTAGATAAACTAAATTAAAGAAAAATATTATATACATACATTCAATATTATACTATGTTTTGTTTTTTTTTCTTTTGCAGGCAAAAACTGTGGCTGAATTGTCTGAGATCTTCTCCATGGTGAGTGATGTCTTGGAGAAGGCTGCCGTCATGAGTGACCCACTGAAGGGCAGAAGTCACGTCATCCAGGAACTGGAGAGACTGAGGGAGATGATGAAAATCCCTGCATCCAACGGAAGGAAGTCTGACGGTAAGAGGGCACTGCGTGTTGCACGACACTGACATTTCCATTTCTATCAGCTGCCGCTCGCTCTCACAATCTGGTGTATTGTCCTCTTCTGTGCTCCCTCTCAGGAATGCTGCAGACGCTGCCGGTGCCCACAGCCAAATGTTACATGTTCCACTGGGAAACAGATAACTTCGGTAATGTATTCAATGTGATGCTTAATATAACGTAGGAATCTATGTGGGAATTATTATTGTGCTTTGCCATCTGAAGCACAGTTTTCCAGTTATTCTACTTTTAGCCCAATGACGTCTGTTCCTGATTGTATTATGTGCCATAACAAAGCATAATTCATTTTAATTCAACAGATTTATCTGTTTGGAATTTTATCTTCTAAATATCTTATCAATGTTCTGATTCCTGCAGACATCCTGAACTCCCTTATGGAGCACGACCCCGATGACCCGGCACCCGATGGGCCGACTGTGGAAGACGAAGAGAACGACATCATCATCCCGAGTTACTACAGCTACCGTGACTCCACCTTCTCCACCATCTCGTCCCTGTCCACCACCTCCAAAGACTCCATGTTCTCCACTCTGTCCGTAGCCTCCGAGTCTTACGCTCCCTCCCTCTACTCCGTCACCTCTGGGGTCGACAGCGACTACTCCGAAGATTTCGACGACTACATCTGCTCCTCTCCCGTTGCCGAGAAGTGTTCGCCGAAGTCGAGCAAAGTCCGACTCAGCCAGCACTTCTACCGGCTCTTCATCAAACCCAAGAACCCTCGGTTACTTTACAGGGCCAAAAGCTTAGGAAACACCGAATCACAAGACCTTCTAATGGTGAGAGACAAGCGTTCCTACTCTTTACCCCAGCAGGTCAAGTTGCATAGTCCTGAGCCCGTACTTCAGCTACAAAGCCAAACTCTCAGGCACGTCTGCTTCCGACGGAGGCCCATCCTGAGCAGCGATGAGGACATTAAGAACACCACGCTGAGAGTGGTGGTGTTCGGTGCCGATCATGTGGCAGGGAAGGTGGCCCGAGCCTACAACAGCCTGAGGAGGAAGGAGTCGGCATGTCCGCAACTCAGCAGGGCCTTCAATCTTCAGTTCTACTTTGTGCCTGTGAAGAGGGACTCGGCAGCGGCAGCAGGATCAGGAAGGAGGTCTTCTGGTCCTCTGGTTCTAAACGGATCTCCGAAAAACTCAGCCTTGTCGAATGTAAGTGGAGGAATATATACTTATAACATCATGTTGTGTAAGCTATATGTCGTTGCGCTAATGAAAACCACATTTTGACATGTAAACAACCCACATGTGGCAGGTTTAACGCCACTGTTTGGTTTTAAGGTGTTGCTTTTTCTCAAGCAGGGCACAGGGGACAGCACTAACGACATCGCACATCTCCTCGGCATGTTGGACCCTTGGTACGAAAGAAACACCCTCAGCCTGCTTAACCTGCCTGCCAACGTCGTCTGCCAGGTACGGCTGGGTTCTAAATGGATCCTCACCAAAACACAACCTCTGAAATACAACTCTCATTGGAATAAATCAAGTCAAATGAATACCTTTCAACAATCTTTAATGCTTTATTTACCTTTCTTCTCCTGTTGTGTAATTGTATTTTGCTCATGTTTTTACAGCAAACCTCGAAAACAGAATCGGAGTCCTACGACGGTTCGTACGAGCAGCGTCTGCCCATCCTGGCTGACCTGGTCTTGTACTACTGCCGCTATGCTGACCGACCAGCCCTAATCCAGCTCTATCAGGCTGAGGTCAGATACACTTCCACACAAAAAAAAACTACTCTGCATGTGTCCTCTCTCGAGCGTTTTTTCTGCCAGACTTTGTTTGAAGAGACCCTGATAACCTCTCATGAACCGCAGCTTCGTATTCAAGTAATAGAGGATCTTTTGTCTTGTAGCTGACGTTAGCTTGCGGCGAGAGGAGGACCGAGGTGTTCGTCCACTCCTTGGAGCTGGGTCACACTGCGGGAACGCGAGCCATCAAGGCCATGGGTGAGTGTGACGCACGGGCCAAACACACGAGTTCATATCCTAGCAACCCCCTCCACATTTCCTGCAGTGAAATGCATCATCGGGTATTATGAGGTGGAGACCGGACTAAATTTATGGCGGAGGAACATCTGCTATTTCTATATCATGATTCAGTCCACTTCTACTTTTGCTGGTTTCACTCGTCACCACGACTTGCACTTCTGATTTTTTTTTTTTTTTTAAATTTCCTTGGAGAAGTAAAAGTTCAGGGAAAACAGCTCACGTCTCGTGTTCTGCTTGTTACCGTGGAAATGACTCATGTTGCATCAATTGCAGCATTCGTAGAAAACAATGAACTCAAATGTTCTAGTGATGTTTTGTAACTCTGTTCTTTCTTGTATTAAAATAGTCCTACTCTCACGTGAATAATCATGTATATCTGTGTCCTCTGTTAACTTTAGGTGCTGCCAGTAAGCGGTTCGGTATCGATGGCGACCGAGAAGCGGTGCCTCTGACGTTAGAAGTGGTGTACAACAGGGTAAGACTGCATTTTACAGAAATCCTATTTATAAATTTGCCATCATATCAGCAGGAAAACATGCAGATTCTCCCCTTTCAGCAGAATCCAGCTAGTTTCAGTGTTAGTCAGGCTGAGGAGATGACACGTCAGCATTTACAGCATGTGCTAAACAAGCATACGTGCACTGTCCTGACTAAGCGTCTGCATGTGTAGTCCTTGTGGTATGAAGTATAAGAGTCTGGTAAACATAATGTTCCCCTTTGTCCACGTTATAATCGCTCCTAATCCATTATCTGTTCATTGTTTCCTCAGTTTTTAAGTGCACCCAATTCAAAATCTGTGCAGAAATCCAGCTGCAGCTATGATTTTTGCTGTCTTACCCAGCATTCTAGTGTTTTCCCCAAACAGCAATGATCTTATCCTCCTCCTCTGCTTCCTCCGCTCATCCAGGTGGTGATTAGTGGGAGAAGCCAGTGGAAAAGAGAAACCAAAGTCTGCACTTCAGTCAACTTAATCAAAGCGTGCAAGAATCCTGAGGAGCTCGGTATGCTGCCACTTGTTGCTATAATAATGAACCAAGCTTAGTTTTCACACAGAGTTTTTGATTTTAAGGAAACTAATTTGATTGCTTAAGACTTCACCCATACGTGTAAAAACTATTTTACCCCTCATTCACCTCCAACGATCTCTTTCAGATTCAAAGATGGAGTGCCTGCAGCTCACCATGACTGAAGTCCTGAAGAGACAGAACGGCAAAAGCAAGAAGGGCTACAATCAGGTGAGCTCGACGTGATGCGAGTCTGCCTCGGCGGTTTGTGGTTGACAAAGCGCTCTCGTAAACAACCCTGCTACGCGTTCCCTATTTAAATACATCGATTCTCAAGCTCTCGACTTAATCTCTCATCACACAAACATGTACATGAGAAAGTTTTTTTTTTCAGACTGACAGCTTTGTGGAGCAAAAAAGCCACAACACACAGACAAAACTCACATCTGCTCTGCTTTACTGGTAGTTGCATTGCAGTTCACGTTCTCAACCTAGTTCGGATTTGGAACGTTGACTTATTTATTTTTATTCTGTTTAGCTCAACACTTTCTTTGCGAATGTCCTAAATGTGAGGACCAGCTGCTAAGTCAGCATATAGTGTATAAAATGATCTATTTTCGAAGGAATGTTCCACCGTCGAGCCTTTTTGATTTTGCAAAATGTGCATTCAGAAGATGCATTGCATTAAGTTTTGCTCTGTTCCTTACCTCTGCAGCAGCTGACCACGACCGAGGTGAAGGTGGACAAGGTGCAGGTCAGCGGTGATGGAAACACAACGTTTGCTGTGTGCCTGGACCAGGACGAGAAGAAAATACTACAGGGTGTCACCAGGTGCGGGATCAGAATAAACGCATGCCCTCGAATCGATGCACAGTGTGTGGAAACCAGCAGATATCTAGTATTCACAGTAAAATGAGCGAATCTCTTAAGTGGTGGGTTCCTGACGTTGCTTCACAATAGAAACATCAAGACACTGTCAGAGAAATAATTTCTCAAAATCACAAATTCACACTAGATGGGCTTCTGGTTTCTTACTCACCTGCTTTCAATTTGTCACCCAAGTTTAGTTTTTTCTCTCTAACACCTGTGTCTGCCTCTGTGTCATTAAGGTGTGAAATATCAGTGTGCTATAAGCCGGACAACTCCACCGACTGGAAGCTGAGAAAATTCCAGGCCTCGGCTCAAATCCAGCCTCTCCACCCGACCTTTTGCTCCCTCCTCTGCCTGCCCATCGTCACTTTCAGCGGGGCTCTACCTTGAGACCGCCGGCCGGCGCTTCGCATGGACCGAAAGGAAAGATTCTCTGCATTGTTATTCAAATGCGGTGAATAACACACTGACTACAGAGGAAAAACACACAAGACGTTTTTATTTTTTCTGCCTGTTGTCTTGAAGCAGCGGGTTGCAACTTCTGGAAACAGAAGGGACAAATGTCAAAACTCCAGACTTCTGTGATAATGTGTGAATATTAACCAAAAAAACCAGGACTGACAAAACAGCTGTCACGGTGCTGTGTCTAGTTTCCTCCATACAAAGCAATCGTCCACTGTAATTAAGGGAACTGTTCAAGTTTCATTCTTCAAGTTTCAGTTCCTCTCTTTGTGTGAGCAACGATTATTGACTTCACCTACAGGAGGATGCAAGTTGGTCAAACAGGGTGAATCTACAGCAGCTGAGGTGAAATCGCCCCCAGACTGGATAAGCCAGAGAGAAAGAATGTGTAAATTGTGTTTATATTAGAGCAAAGGTTTATCAGTTTTTCTATGTATCAGCCTACATGGACACTGTACTATATGTAAAGGCTCCGTTAGGGAGGAATATCAGATTACGTGACAATATCTGAGAATGCACACTATGCTTTTATATAATATGTAAATGTTCTCCTTGTAAAATATTGTATTGCGTACTATAACTTGAACATGACACCTTATATTTTTTTTGGTCTGTTGTACATATTGGTCGTAACATTTCTCCTACGGAGCTAAACTGAAATCACTGTTTTAACTGGAATTATAATTCTGACCAGCAGGGGGCTCTGTAGACTTTTCATTTGACTTGAAGTAAAGAAAGTCCAGACTTGGTGACACTTAACAGTGTCATTGTAATTACTGTACTATATATTATGGATAAGAAATATATATATATTCTAACTTTACAAATTGATAATCTTCATTTTTATCAAAAACACAGATTTAAAAAAAATATGGTGCTTAAAAAAAAACATCTAGAAGTACATTACTTGTACAAAAAAATTGCACTTTTTACAATGTAAACTATGATATTAAAAACCTTTGTGTTTTTTTTGCTGTAAAGGGATAATATCCTTACCACTTGACTGAAATTGAAATTGTAGCATTGCATGAAAATACTGTTTTACTGAATGGAAGCACTTGAATACAATTCAGTAAAACAACAATTAAATGAAAGATTAAATTAGGTACTTTTCTGTTCAGATAAATGCCTGACATCAATGCCCCCTCCCCCCTACGTGCCTCTTCTAATGGATGGAAAATGTGTTTTTTTGTTGTTGTTGTTGTTTTAAAAATCATGTATCACCTTTTCAACTGATGCATCTCAAAATCAACCTTCATTAAAACATGTCTTTAATTTAATTTGATTGAATGGTGTCTTGCTGTTTGTCCTCCTTTGAACAGGTGCTTGTATACATCCTATTATGTACATGCACAGCAGAAGTGTGCAACATCACTGAAATGTCAGACGAGGAACATTCCAGCGTGAGAATAATCCAAAGCACAATGCGGAAACATCACCAGAAAAAAGTGAAAACTTTTGGCTTGGCCAAGTATGTCGCCTGACTTGAATCCAGGAGAGCACCTTTGGGCTTTCCCAGAAATGTGTGCAACACTGACATCCTTCCTGCTGGGAAGGATTTAG